CACACATAGTTGCCTACCTACACACATAACCGCCTACCTACACACATAGCCGCCTACCTATACACATAGCCGTCTACCTACACACATAACCGCCTACCTACACACTTAGCTGCCTACCTAAATACATAACTGCCTACCTACACACATAACTGCCTACCTACATTTATGGCTGCTTACCTACTCCATAGCTGCTTACCTACCCACACATGGCTGCCTACCTACACACATTGCTCACTTATCCACCTGCACACAGATAACTAAACTTTTGCTCACTAACCCACCTGCACACAGATAACTAAACTTTTGCTCACTAACCCACCTGCACACAGATAACTACAGATTTGCTCATTTACCCACCTGCACACAGATAACTACACATTTGCTCATTTACCCACGTGCACACAGATAGCTACACATGTGCTCACTTACCCACCTGCACACATATATCTAAACATTTGCTCACTTACTCACGTGCACACAGATAACTGCACATTTGCTCACTTACCCACCTGCACACAGATAACTACCCATTTGCTCACTTACCCACTTGCACATTTATAACTACCCATTTGGTCACTTACCCACCTGCACACATATAAATACCCATTTGCTCACTTACCCACCTGCACACATAAAGCTGCTCATAACCAAGGTGCACACACAGCTACGCAGCTGCACACATAATACCTCAGATGCACACATAGCTACACAGCTGCTCACAAAACTACCCACACACACACAATCTTATTCATGTGCACACACACCTAGCCATCTACATACATAACTAGCAAACTGCACATGAACTAACCCATTTTGCAATATCCACCCACCTGGCACAAGATTGAAATGCGAAATGATCAATTTCAGCAAACCTGGAGTGTAGCTCAACACACTAACTCTTTTGCAGTGACTTCCCCACGCGGCACAGTTAAAACTGCATTTGATCTGTGAAACAGCCCATGGCCGTCAGACAGCGAGGCAAACAGCCTTTCCTTAGTTATGGAAACCCTTACGTGCATAAACAGATAGCTACTTACATTTGCATGACTTAGCATACATACCCACTCACTTACACATATACCCACTAGCATACATTTGCTCACTTACTCATGTACCGGCTAGCATACATACCCACTCACTTACATTTGCATCACCTTAGCATACCCCCCCCCTGCACACAGATAACTACCCATTTGCTCACTTACCCACCTGCACACATATAACTACCCATTGGCTCACTTACCCACCTGCACACATATAAATACCCATTTGCTCACTTACCCACCTGCACACATAAAGCTGCTCATAACCAAGGTGCACACACAGCTACGCAGCTGCACACATAATAACTCTGATGCACACATAGCTACACAGCTGCTCACACAACTACCCACATACACACAATCTTATTCATGTGCACAAACACCTAGCCATCTACATACATAACTAGCAAACTGACACATGAACCAACCCATTTACAACAATATCCACCCACCTGGCTAAAGGTTGAAATGCGAAATGATCAATTTCAGCAAAGCCTGGAGTGTAGCTCAACACACTAACTCTTTAGCTCCAGTGACGATCCCCATGCGGCTCTGTTAAAACTGCATTTGATCTGTGAAACAGCCCGCGACCGTCAGAGCGCGAGGCAAACAGTCTTTCCATTTAGTTATGGAAAACCCTTACATGCATAAACGCCTACCCATTTACATTTGCATGTACCGGCTAGCATACATACCCACTCACTTACATTTGCATGTACCGGCTAGCATACATACCCACTCACTTACATTTGCATGTACCGGCTAGCATACATACCCACTCACTTACATTTGCATGTACCGTCTAGCATACATACCCACTCACTTACATTTGCATGTACCCGCTAGCATACATACCCACTCACTTACATTTGCATGTACCCGCTAGCATACATACCCACTCACTTACATTTGCATGTACCCGCTAGCATAAATACCCACTCACTTACATTTGCATGTACCGGCTAGCATACATACCCACTCACTTACATTTGCATGTACCGGCTAGCATACATACCCACTCACTTACATTTGCATGTACCGGCTAGCATACTTACCCACTCACTTACATTTGCATGTACCCGCTAGCATACATACCCACTCACTTACATTTGCATGTACCGGCTAGCATACATACCCACTCACTTACACATATATATGATCTCCCATCTGCACACACCATTCGACGACAAACAAATCTAAGGGGAGAGGAGGGGTCCGGGGGAGGGGGGTTATGAATGGAATAATAATAAAGGATACAATGTTTGTAGACAGGTTAAAGTGCTGTGCGTCTGGAAAGAACCACATTGAATATATGCAGTGGCAGCTAAACTCCTAAATCCCATTGTCTAATTGTGGGATATTTTTCGCAGCGCGAGTGGGTTTTGTTAGTCACACTGGCTATGGCCGTTGGCTGGGCGATTCCCATATCTCCCTGTTGCACAAATTACCACTCTCGTCTGGAAAGAAGGAAAAGTGCTCACAACAGTACCATTAGGACTTGGAAACTGGTCTCTTTTTACCTACCACAGTGGCTCTGCTTGTTTACCAATTTGTCAAGGTATTTTCCTGTGATTTGTCTGCTTACTGACTGACTGACTGACTGACTGACTCTGACTTGCTGGCTGGCTGGCTGACTGACTGGCTGTAACTTCTTTACGCATCCTGAATGTCAATCCAACAGGACAATCTACAGATACCTCATTCATTCTTAAAGAAGTGATAGCTAGATAACCCGTAACGCCTACCCCAAGAATTAACTTGGTATATCTGACTGTCACAGTCTGTTAACGGTGTTCGTACCTACCAGCTAGCTTATGGCTACCTGCGTGCAAATTCTCTACATTGTGTGCATGTCTGAAAATGTGCGCATCACTTTTCTGTTCACCCAAGTATCTCTCTTTCTGTCTCTAAGTGTGTGTCCATGTCTTTCAAATCAGTAACTCAGTTGTCTGTTTTTTGCATTCTGTTATATTTTGATTATTCTGATCCTATTCCCCCCACTCCACTCTTTTTTTTTCTCTCGCTCCAAAACATACTCGCCCCCCCCCCCCCCCCCCCCCCCCCCCGGCACCTTTTCAAATTTTCTCTTTCCTGTTTTTTTAAATCTTTAGTGTTACTCTTGATCTGCCACTTGCATTCTCTCCTTGCCATTCCCATATCACTGCTGTCTGCCTCTGTCTACTATTTTTCTTCTTTAACCATTGTCGTTAACCACTTTCTCACCTTCTTTCCCTCTCTCTTTCTCTATTTGTGTGTGTTTCTGTCTCGGTATCTTGCTATTTCTCCTCTCTCTCTCTCTCTCTCTCTCTCTCTCTCTCTCTCTCTCTCTCTCTCTCTCTCTCTCTCTCTCTCTCTCTCTCTTTAATTTTTTTTTATTATGTCTCTTCGCCCTCGCCTGCCCCCCATTTCTCTTTTTCTCTGTCTCGGAAAAAAAGTCCATTGTGTTGTCTCTGTTTTCAAGAGCAGTGGTTGCCCAAGCTTTCGAAATAAAGTCTTGCTGCGTCCTTTTTTGTTGTTGCGTTTTTTTAAATGTTTGATGAGTGGCTAGCCGAGTGGTTACAACGTCAGCCTTTCATTCGAGAGACTTGGGTTCCGATCACCAATAAGATCACAGATAATTTAGTCTTTCTCTAGAAATAAACTCGTCGCAGCACCATTTTCCAAATCCTACTCAGCTTTACTTTTAGTTAACTATTATAAACAATCAGATACATAGCACTGGTGTCGAGTGTTGTAAACTCACATTTACAGTGTTGTTCTTATGGTCGAGTGTTGTAAACTCACATGTACAGTGTTTTTCTTGTCGTCAAGTGTTGTACACTCACATGTACAGTGTTGTTCTTGTCATCAAGTGTTGTAAACTCACATGTACAGTGTTTTTCTTGTCGTCAAGTGTTGTACACTCACATGTACAGTGTTGTTCTTGTCGTCAAGTGTTGTAAACTCACGTGTACAGTGTTTTTCTTGTCATCAAGTGTTGTAAACTCACATGTACATTGTTGTTCTTGTCATCAAGTGTTGTAAACTCACATGTACATTGTTGTTCTTGTCATCAAGTGTTGTAAACTCACATGTACATTGTTGTTCTTGTCGTCAAGTGTTGTAAACTCACATGTACAGTGTTGTTCTTGTCATCAAGTGTTGTAAACTCACATGTACAGTGTTGTTCTTGTCATCAAGTGTTGTAAACTCACATGTACAGAGTTGTTCTTGTCGTCGAGTGTTGTAAACTCACATGTACATTGTTTTTCTTGTCGTCAAGTGTTGTAAACTCACATGTACAGTGTTCTTGTCGTCGAGTGTTGTAAACTCACATGTACAGTGTTGTTCTTGTCGTCAAGTGTTGTAAACTCACATGTACAGTGTTGTTCTTGTCGTCGAGTGTTGTAAACTCACATGTACAGTGTTGTTCTTGTCGTCGAGTGTTGTAAACTCACATGTACAGTGTTGTTCTTGTCGTCAAGTGTTGTAAACTCACATGTACAGTGTTCTTGTCGTCAAGTGTTGTAAACTCACGTGTACAGTGTTGTTTTTGTCGTCAAGTGTTGTAAACTCACATGTACAGTGTTGTTCTTGTCGTCAAGTGTTGTAAACTCACGTGTACAGTGTTGTTCTTGTCATCAAGTGTTGTAAACTCACATGTACAGTGTTGTTCTTGTCGTCAAGTGTTGTAAACTCACATGTACAGTGTTGTTCTTGCAGTCAAATGTTGTAAACTCACATGTACAGTGTTGTTCTTGTCGTCGAGTGTTGTAAACTCACATGTACAGTGTTGTTCTTGTCGTCGAGTGTTGTAAACTCACATGTACAGTGTTGTTCTTGTCGTCAAGTGTTGTAAACTCACGTGTACAGTGTTGTTCTTGTCGTCAAGTGTTGTAAACTCACATGTACAGTGTTGTTCTTGTCGTCAAATGTTGTAAACTCACATTTAATGTGTTGTTTTTGTCTGTCTGGCAGAGTTGGCGATCTCTGAAGAGCGGCAGACATTCCGGTCCCGCTTCATGAGTGTCAGCAAAGGCAGACGACAACGAAAATCGCAAACCAAGTTCAGCCATGATGGGAAACCATTGGTGGATGATTTCTATCATACACCTACAAAGGTATGTTAGTCAACATATGTGTTGCTTTCCAAGAGTTTGTCTTCAGTGGCATTTTTTCACAGATCTAAAACTTTTGCATAGGGAATCACAAGTGAAGTAAATAAAGAACAAAGTGCGCATTTGATATTAGACTCATATTGTACATAGACAAATCAGTACTGGATGGGTCATGTTCACTTCTTTACCTTGGCTACCTTTACTTTCCACAACGTTCTCTGTGACCCATTTTAAGCTTCGTCCACGTGGAAGACTAGGTAAAATTTGAATGTAAAAATCGGACTCATCCTCGATTTGAACTCAAGACTTTTGGATCGGCATGTGAACGTCTAGCCAGTCCTCTACCTTGACTCTCTCATAATTTAAACTAAAATGTAAACGAAATCTACTTTAGGGTTTCTTGATAAGAACTGTTCGCAATCAGAACACCAGTATCATTACTTGGCAGCAGACAGATCACACAGCACCATTACTTGGCAGCAGACAGATCACCCAGCACCATTACTTGGCACAGACAAATCAATCACCCAGCACCATTACTTGGCAAATCACACAGCAACCATTACTTGGCAACACACATCACCCAGCACCATTACTTGGCAGCAGACAGATCACCCAGCACCATTACTTGGCAACAGACAGATCACCCCAGCACCATTACTTGGGCAGCACTTGGCAACAGACAGATCACCATTACTTGGCAGCACCATTACTTGGCACACATCACAGCATCATTACTTGGCAGCAGCACCCCACCATTACTTGGCAACACACAGATCACCCAGCACCATTACTTGGCAGCAGACAGATCACCCAGCACCATTACTTGGCAACAGACAGATCACCCAGCACCATTACTTGGCAACACACAAATCACCCAGCACCAATACTTGGCAACACACAGATCACCCAGCACCATTACTTGGCAGCAGACAGATCACCCAGCACCATTACTTGGCAACACACAGATCACCCAGCACCATTACTTGGCAGCACAGATCACCCAGCACCATTACTTGGCAGCAGACAGATCACACGTGGCAGACAGATCACCCGGCACCAGCACACCACCCGGCACCATTACTTGGCACACAGACAGATTACTTGGCAACACACAGATCACCCGGCACCATTACCAGCACCATTACTTGGCACACAGAGACAGCACCATCACCCAGACATCACCCCACCATTACTTGGCAGACAGACAGATCGTGGCAGCAGCACCACCCGGCACCATTACTTGGCAACACACAGACACCCGGATGCAACACAGATCACCCGGCACCATTACTTGGCAACACACAGATCACCCGGCACCATTACTTGGCAACACACAGATCACCCAGCACCATTACTTGGCAGCAGACAGATCACCCAGCACCATTACTTGGCAACACACAAATCACAGATCTTGGCCAGCACCACCATTATTGGCAGCAGACTGATCACCCAGCACCATTACTTGGCAACACACAGATCATCCAGCACCATTACTTGGCAGCAGACAGATCATCCAGCACCATTACGTGGCAGCAGACAGATCACCCAGCACCATTACTTGGCAACACACAGATCATCCAGCACCGTTACTTGGCAACACACAGATCATCCAGCACCGTTACTTGGCAGCAGACAGATCATCCAGCACCGTTACCTGGCAGCAGACAGACCATCCAGCACCATTACTTGGCAGCAGACAGATCACCCAGCACCATTACTTGGCAGCAGACAGATCACCCAGCACCATTACTTGGCAACACACAAATCACCCAGCACCATTACTTGGCAACACACAGATCACCCAGCACCATTACTTGGCAGCAGACAGATCACCCAGCACCATTACTTGGCAACACACAGATCACCCAGCACCATTACTTGGCAGCAGACAGATCACCCAGCACCATTACTTGGCAGCAGACAGATCATCCAGCACCGTTACGTGGCAGCAGACAGATCACCCGGCACCATTACTTGGCAACACACAGATCATCCAGCACCGTTACTTGGCAACACACAGATCATCCAGCACCGTTACTTGGCAGCAGACAGATCATCCAGCACCGTTACCTGGCAGCAGACAGACCATCCAGCACCGTTACGTGGCAGCAGACATATCATCCAGCACCATTACTTGGTAGCAGACAAATCATCTAGCACCATTACTTGGTAGCAGACAGATCACCCAGCACCATTACTTGGCAACAGACAGATCATCCAGCACCATTACTTGGCAGCAGACTGATCATCCAGCACCGTTACTTGGCAGCAGACAGATCATCCAGCACCGTTACGTGGCAGCAGACAGATCACCCAGCACCATTACTTGGCAACACACAGATCATCCAGCACCATTACTTGGCAACACACAGATCACCCAGCACCATTACGTGGCAGCATACAGATCATCCAGCACCGTTACGTGGCAGCAGACAGATCACCCAACACTATTACTTGGCAACACACAGATCATCTAGCACCATTACTTGGCAACAGACAGATCACCCAGCACCATTACTTGGCAACACACAGATCACCCAGCACCATTACTTGGCAGCAGACAGATCATCCAGCACCGTTACGTGGCAGCAGACAGATCATCCAGCCCCATTAGGTGGCAGCAGACAGATCACCCAGCACCATTACTTGGCAACAGACAGATCACCCAACACTATTACTTGGCAACACACAGATCATCTAGCACCATTACTTGGCAACAGACAGATCACATAACACCATTACTTGGCAACACACAAATCACCCAGCACCATTATTTGGCAACACACAGATCACCCAGCACCATTATTTGGCAGCAGACAGATCACCTAGCACCATTACTTGGCAACACACAGATCACCCAGCACCATTACTTGGCAACACACAGATCACCCAGCACCATTATTTGGCAGCAGACAGAAAATGTCTTTCCAAAACAATTAATGTCTTCACACAAAAGGAACTTTTATTTAATGAAAGTTGGATTGGCCATAATGTTACAGTTATATTTTTAAATGATAATAGGATAGAATTAGAATTGATTAATGTTGAAGAAAACGTGCTTTATATTTTCTTTCCCTGAACCATTAGAGTTCTTGCTCTGCGGAACTGTCTAATCTCGTTTATGTTTTCCAGTTGACTGTCATTTAAAAATCACTAGACGTTTCTCATCAAGTTTTGTTAATGGTCCATGTACTTAAAGTACAAAGCACTCTTGCGTGTATAAAGGGTTGTTGTTAATTCAGTGTAGAGTTTTATGTCATTGTTTACTGCTTCTCTCAACAATTTGTCTAACGGTTGTGTCATCTACACAGTTCATGCGTTCCACTTCCCTTTCATCCAAATCAGAAAATATAGAGATTAATATGCCTGATGTTTTGTCCATCTATGTATTATATATATAAGTATTGTATTCTTTTTACGAAATTAATTGTCACTTCTACTCCCTCTCTGTCTCTCTCTCTCACTATCGTTCTCTCCCTCTCTCTCTCTCTCTCTCTCTCTCTCTCTCTCTCTCTCTCTCTCTCTCTCTCTCTCTCTCTGCTAGGGATATGGAGTTGAGTTGAGTCAACAATTGACATCACAGCACTTTGGGCATTCCCATTCGTGCTCCGTCCTCATCTTCAGCAGCCAGCGAAGAGTTTTGAATGCTGGTGGTACCGGTCACAATCTGGTTAAATGTCCGTCTTGCCTTTCCTCTGAGTGTAGTGAGCCGGCCAGACCATCTGGTTACACCCAGGTGCCTCATTCTCTCCAGGCCATAATAATCTTCTTTCTCTACTGATTCCGTTGCTTGTTCCCAAACGGCCTTGACCACATCTGCCTTGTCATGTATTGCTAGGGATATAGTTTTTGCTTAGGTGTGGTTCACTTCCCGGGTAAAACAAAAATATTTTTATACTTTTAAGATAAAAGCAATTCTCGTGTGAAAGTAACACTCAGGATGTGAGGCAAGCCTACGTGCCCAATTAGTCACCCTTGAAAATAGTTTGTTTATTTGTTCTCTTCTCCTTCTGTGAGTGCTATGTATGACATTGGATCTAAAATAAAATAAAAATAAAGTTATGTAATATTCTATAAATATTATCTAAAAATATCATCTAATTCGTCTTCTTCCTACCACTCTACTTTCTTCTTCTTCTGCTGCTTCATCTCCACTACCACCTTATTCGTCTTGTTCTTCATATCCTCCCCCTCCTTCTCCTTTTCCTTTTTATTCCTATTCTTCTTCTGTGCTTCCTTCCTCTCCTGGTCATTGTTTACACATGTTCTACTCCTCAGTTTTCACTAAAGTAATCTACACCTCATTGTTGTTGGTGACTGGTGTTGGTGATCATGTATATCATTTTCCTTACTATCAACAAAGATGGGCACAAGTGACTCCTTGGGTATAAGAGAACAAGGGGCAAGAGAAATGGTGACAGGCCATGTTTATTTCAGGCAAACTGTGATGAGAGTGACGTATGCAAAGGATCTGCTACATGATGATGTTAATGAAGATGAGTCTGTATTATGCACCATGTCATGACAGTTATCATTTTAATGTGCTGGATACTAATCTCAAGTACTGCTTGCTTATTTCAAAAGCACTTTTTTTTTCCCATAGCATTTGTATATTTGAAACTTGTGTGCGTAGTATACACAAACACTAACACTGACACCTTTTACAGTCAGTCTGTTTTTCTTGTAAAATAACTGTTTTTTCCAGTTGCTGGTTGACAGGTGTTCTAGTGTCTGCTGCAGACAGTGTCTAGTTATTTGTTTGCTTCTCTATCCCCAGTTTTCTCAACAATGTATATAGTGTGCAGAGTGTGTGGCTGGTGCTTATGGATAGAAGCTCAATCCCGGATATGGTAGTCTATGCAAATAAATCATTTCTTTCATCTTGTCAGCATTTGTTAATTTAAATCTCATAATTCTTAAATTTATAACACAGCATTTGTTTTTTTACACAGCACAATTATTTTATCTGTTTCCAGTTGTCACTGTGCCAAGTTGGAAACTGGAATTTCAACATCTTCAGCTTAGAATGTCTCTCAGGTGGTAAGTAGCAGGAGTTTAAATGTACAGGTGGAAGCTACTAGATGAAGTCTCTAATGAGATTAGGCCATTTCTGTACACATATATATATATATATATATATATATATATATATATATATATATATATATATATATATATATATATATATATATATATATATATATATATATAATGTAGCATGTCTTTTGTAGGATGTCGGTCTCATTGTGGTCTGCCTGAAAGAAACTAGGTCTCTCTCCAGCTCTCCCACCTCATGCACTTTCATATCCAACGAGTCATTTATATTGTGTGCCATCTTCATCTTGGTCAAAATTTTAACTTTGATTTCATTTCTGATGCTGAAACATAAAATGTTAATGATGTTTAATCTTTGTATTGAAATGGCCATCCTCCTATTGGCTTTTGTTCAGCAGATTCCATTGCTGTTTATTATGGAGCCCAGATATTCAAAGTTTGTGACATTTTTTAATGTCTTTATCATTTATTGTTATTTTTGGGTGACCACCAGTTATGTCTATGGATATTATTTTTGTTTTCTATAAATTCAAGAACAGGATATATATATAGTTGTATACAAGTTTGAATACCTAGGCAGACGATCTTGCCCTCGGTGCGGAACTAAACAGACAGACAGGAAAGGCTTTTGCAGTGCTTTCCACTCTCAACAAGAGTGTGTGGTCAAGAAACTTATGGATGGGACCAGAATTAAAGTTTATGAAGCTTGCATCCTGAGCAAGCTGCTTTACAGCAGTGAAACCTGAATGTATATTCCTCAAGAAAAAAAGACTGAATACCTTCCTCATTTGCTGTATGGGACACATTCTTGTTTTATCCTGTGAGACTTTTCGCCAATGAAAGTGTAAACTCAAAAGAGCAGGAATACCAACAGTGTACTTCCCGGTGATATAGACACCTGCATTGGTTAGGACATGTCTCTCACATAAAGGCCGGCCACATTCCAAAGGATCTGTGGTGAACTGGTAACAGAGATAAAACCTGCTGGAAGGCCAGAGCTTGGCTATAAGGACATATGCAACTTAGACCTGAAAGATATTTACATTGGCACAGACACTTGGGAGAGATCAGCAGCAGACCAACTCCTGTGGACAGTGAAGGACAGACTAGTACAGTCTGAAAGAGGCCATTCACAGCAAGCTAGAGAGAGAGGAGACGTTTGAGAGAAAACCAGCCTCAAAACAATAATGTATGAATATGTAGACAACATTGTGAGGAAACTGATACTGCATTAGGTGTCCAGGGGATATGGCCGACGCTCAATATTCAAGAAATACCATCTTAATGTCCCTAGTGCTGTGATGTTAATTCTTAATTCAAGTCAGTATTGATATATTTACATCTATCTACTTTATTTTATGTTTGTTTGTCTTGGGAAACTTTGAGTATTTTCAAGATCATGAAGTAAATGAGCCTAAACCATTCAATTCTTCATCTGCCTTTACCCTTTAAGGACGACTGGCAAACTGTCAGTGTCTTTCAGCCCAAAACATTTGATTTCAGCAAACCTTGACTTCATCTTTAACAACAGGTTTTATAACAGGCAGTGGGTTTATTTCTTACCCATGTGAAGAAAATTATTCAATAACAAAACAAAATGTATAAGAACAAGTCAGATTGAAGACATACATTCACAAGGCAAAGAAACATTATTCCAGCTACATTGTTGCAAGCAGGTTATGAATTTGGGTGCCATCAATAGTGTTAAATGTTGGACTGGATCAAGAACAGGGACATTAAACTGGGCAACACCGACATAACATAACAGACATGCCATCTTGATAAATTATGACTGTTTAATTCATCAGATAAAGCGCTAGATGCTTTTTCTCATTTCCTGTCAATTCTTTAATCAGAGATTTAAGCTGATAGCGTGCTATATTAAACTCTTTAGCAGATTTAATGTTTTTGACAAGTTTCAAGCCAGTTTTAGTTTGTCAAGCCCCAGAATCACTTTTCTGCAGAGTTGAACTGTTTTTGACTGACCGATTAATTTTATTTCTGTGGTTGGGAAAAAAGGGGGGGGGGGGGGGGGGGGGGGGGGTGTAAAGCAGAAGATAAAGAAAGAACAGAATAATGAAATCTTTCAACAAAAAATTTGCAGAGATGTTACTCATAACAAACACAGACCTTTGCAAAATGGAGACACATCACTACAACAGAGATGTCAGTTGTAGTGAGAAATTAGCAGAGAGGTTACTCATAACAAACACAGACTTTTGCAAAATGGAAAAAACATCACTACAACAGAAGTTTCAGTTGTAGTGAGAAAAAGAACTTTAAAGTGCTGTGTAGAACTTGTTTTTGTGTCTCTGGCTTAGGGATTGTGAATGGGCTTCATAATGCCGAAGTGCCGAGTTTAATCCCAGCTGCAAGCAGTTTGGCAGCAGACAGTCTTACATTGGTTTCGACAGTGGTACAGAGAACTGACCGTTCAGAAGCAGTGGCAAACTACTGAATGTAAAATTCAAAGCAGCCAAAAAATGATGGGGTAGTTTTGCAACATCCTGTAAAAGATTCACAACTAGCATAGAACATGTGCAGCTGTATATGAAATATGGACTAAAATCAGAGAAGCTGAGCCAGATCTACTGACAACAGAAACATGCTCTCTGATGAGAATGCAAATAAAACCATGGAGTGACAGAAACATCAATGAGACAGACCTGCAAGAAAGAGATAAAACAGTCAAATAATGATTAGATAAATAAATATAAAGGAGGAGTAAACATTTTGTATTTTCTGATAAGTAGAAAAATATTTTTCTTTGATGAGGTCCAAGGTGGAAGAGAAGAAGAAGAAGAAGAAGAAGAAGAAGAAGAAGAAGAAGAAGAAGAAGAAGAAGAAGAAGAAGAAGAAGAAGAAGAAGAAGAAGAAGAAGAAGAAGAAGTAGAAAAATATTTGAAAACTAAGTGACAGCTTGAAAACTTGATGAAGAAAGAGCAAGGTTAAATCAGTGAAATATATTTACCAGGAATGGTTGATCACACGGCATAGGTGAGACAAGAACAGTGACCTGATCTGAGACTGGTTATTGAATGAGGTGGCTCATGATGATATTTTTAACCTTTGTTGATATATTATGCAAGCCTTCTCATTTCCAAGGATGATGATGTATATGTTTTCTTTCAGGTCGATCTCTCTTCCATGTTGCTTACCATTTATTCCAAACCTACGATCTCATCAGGGGCTTCCATCTTGACTCAGTTGGACTTGTGCAATTTTTTAGTAAGTGCTCACTTCTTGTTTAAGGTCGAGAAATCCAATGACAGACACTTCCATACATGTGCCATTTCCTTTTAGAATTGTCCATGAATAGTCCAGGTAGGAGATGTGGGTTTTTGTTTTTAAATATCCAGAAACCATGAGTTGTTAACCCTTTTGCTCGGTACTACTAATATCTCAAACCATCAACCTTGATTCCTTTATAAATACTGTAAATCTGGGAGAAATTTTGCTTTTCTGCCTACCCCTGGACCACAAGGATTTGGTCACTCGGTCGCAGCACAGTCAGGTTTAACCAACCGAGCTAGCGCGCCGGGCTAGGAAATGAGAAGAGGGAGGCAATTGGCCACCCCACATTATATGCTGGGTACCATAATATGTCATATTTTTTTACAATTTTTTATGGTTTTTTTTTAGTAACAGTCCATCATTTATGACATTTATTAGTCATTGTTAAAGCTATCATGTACTGGAGATTTCAAGAAGCAGTACAATTATATTTTGTGCCATGCGATTTGTATTTTTTTTTCCTCCAGATCTTATGTTTTCATTTCTTGTTTTCAAGTACATCTGTCTTCACCAGCACTTCCTTCCAACATTTTCTAAAAGATTTTAACTACTTCTTTGACTCTGTTGAGGAAAGTGTGTCCATGTTGTGGCTTTTATCAAAGGTAGACAAGAGACAGTCCACCTGTCAGAGCCACTCTACCAGCTGTAAAGCAGTCTTTGGTGTCCATCCACCAAGCACCAGGCACTCATCCATCTAACAGTCATTGTTCATCATTGTTTACTCTTATTTATCTTCTGTATTCACCCCTAAAAGGGCAATGGGCACGTTATGTGGTTTAAGGCAAGGCTGCAACATCTGCACCTTTTGACCCAACATATTTGATTTAAGAAACCACCTAATTAATTGTCTTTTATGACATGCTTCTTAAGAATCGAAGCTTTGGGCATAGTGATGTTTCTCAGACTGGACATTTACCCATGACTAGCAGTTGTTTTATGGATTAGGTCCTAGTCACACTCCTTGAGGCATATTGTGCTATCCCCTATTTATACTGTACACTAAATGAGCACTTGATGGGTGATGTGACTGAAATCCTTTACCTCTCAGGATATTTTCTGGTGCAGTACGAGGCAACTATGAACCACTTTTAACTACAGTGAAAAGAATGGAAATGCAGTGGTCTGGACATGTAATAAGATCTAATAGTCTGTCAAGAAAAATATTACAGGGCTCATTAGCGGGAAAGAGGAGAAGCAGCAGACCAAGAAAGAACTGGGTACAAAACTTGATTGACTGGATAGGCCATGAGCATTCAACTATGAAGTCCATTACTTTTGACCATCAAAGGTGAAGGGAGCTGATCAGATAGTCAGCAGCAGCAGTGTCAATGGTAATAATGAGGTAGTATTACAGAGGTCTTCTGAGGAGTTCTATAACAACCAGCAGAAGTGTATTTAAAATACTGCCACCCTTTTCACTTTGTGCCTTGCCAGTGTTTAGTGAAGGAGTTTAAATTATCACACCATTGCTGGCGTGCTAGTGCAGTAGCTAAATCTTGTCTGTAAGCCTGAAAACCTTGGGCATTTCTACAGTGAGGTAGTTTTTGTATAGCTGACCTTGGCTTACAGAAAAAACCCAGCTTAAAACGGATACAAGAAAATGACTGCTGGTGTGCATGATGATGATCACATCACTGTCTAAAACAGTATAACTCTGCACTGTATGTCCAGTGCACAAGTGGTGAGAAAAGGGTCCTACTCATCACTCCCAAGTTTGTATTGTAATCATTTAATACAGCCATTTCTACATTGGTCCACAGCCCTAATTGAACAGAATTATCATAGTACAAACCCATACCACAACTCTGTCCATGCTGCTGATGTCACTCAATCTATGCATTGCTATCTGCAGGAAAGAGAGGTAACAGTCTCAATGCCACTGTCCCTGTGCTTTTTGTCTTCAGTCATTGTGTGTTAGTTATTGTTGAAAGACTGTATTACTTCGGATTTGTGTTTTATCAGTAACAGTAACTGCTTTTTCCTCACATCATTTCTCAGACTTTGACTTTAGTTTCATTGTGATTTGAATGTTGACTGGAGAATGTTGAGATCTTGATGCTACATACAGTCTGTCTGTCAGTAAGATTGCTGAGGGCCAGCAGAGATCTACATCTTGTATGTAGATCACGTGGCCGTGAAATATGATCTGCAGTTATTGCAGGTTATTTACATGCAGGAGTACATCTAATTTTAAACTTGCAATAGGGGCCAATTTTAAATGTACAATGTTCTGTTCACATTCTTGTTCTTCATTTTGTCCTCATCGTCTTTTTCATCTTTTTTATTTGTCCAGTATTGTTTGCTGTTGCTTTGACAGGATTTGTAATGTGTCTGTTTACACAGCTGCAGCATTTTGTCTTTCAGTTGACACATCTGACTTCTGCCAGAATTTATTGACTGGGTTAATGTTCCTGTTGTGCTTCAATGGACATTAAACAGTGCCCAACCAGAACAGTCACATGCATGCTGTTAAGCTCTACATGACCTCAAGATTATTCTTAACATATAATGAAACTTTCATTTAGGCAGAGCAATCACAGATTTTCTTTTTTCCTTTTTGTATTCACTTCAAGCTTGTGATCTCCTGCACATTGACTGCTTAGCTTTACTTCCATTGTTTGGTCCCTTTATAATTATTTATCATCCCATTTGAGATCAGCACAGTGCTGTCTGTGGACTAGAGGGATTTAGATAACTGTCCATAAAGATCAGTCTGGTTCCTTACTATAGTTCCAGAAGCACACATCTCACATTGCTCTATTTCTATCCAGCATCAGCATTTTTGTAAATGTGGTGTTGGGACTTCACTCAGGGCATGATTCAGTTAGACACATAGCTGCATATTGCGCCAGCAAAGAACATGATGAAACAGATTAGCAAGAAATCACAGAACTGATGGCCCTCAGAGATGCAGTTACTAGTCACTGTGAAGCCAAAATTGGACATTTTGGGTCTATATAAACACGAAAGTGAAGGATAGTTGTTGAAATAAAAATGTCCAGCTCATTAAATTGCAAAGTAAAAACTGTATTTTATGACTAAAAAGACATTACTTACCTAACTGTGTATTTGATGACTAAAAAGACATTATTTCCCTAACTATGAATTCGATGACTAAAAAGACATTACTTACCTAACTGTGTATTTGATGACTAAAAAGACATTATGTACCTGTGTATTTGATGACTATAATACAAGCAAGAATTCAAAATAAAATAGAGAAAGAAGTTTCTGAAGAGCATTTTGGATTCCGTAAAAACAGTGGTACTCGAAAGGTCATAATTTGTCTAAAGATGCTGACTGAAAAATATACAGAAGTTCAGAAAAATATTAATGCATGTTTTATAGATTACCAAAAAGCTTTCGCAGAGTGCAACATGAACAACTAATTGCAGCTCTTCAAAACATGGGACTAGATGGAAAGGATATCAGACTTATTAGAAACTTATACTGGGAGCAAGAAGCAGCAGTAAGATATGACAACATCTGCTCACCCCAGATAGAGATCAAGAGAGGAGTAAGACAAGGATGTGTGCTGTCGCCTAGCCTTTTCAACTTATGTACAGAAACAATTTTTAAATAAATTGTAGAATTACCAGGACTGCACATCAATGGTAGAATAATAAACAATCTGAGATATGCTGACAACACAGTGTTGCTAGCAGAGAGTGAGCAGGAGTTGCAAGAACTATTGGAGCAAGTAAACAGAAGGAGTGCAGAAGTTGGATTAGATATTAATTTGAAAAAGACAAAAACCATGATATTTAGCAAAGAAAAAAATCAGCTAACAATGAATATCACAGTGAACGGGGTGAAATTGGAACAAGTTTAAAATTTCTTATATCTTGGACAAGTAATAACATGTGACGGCAGAAGTGAAACAGAAGTCAAGAAAAGAATAGGGATGTCCAAAAACATTTTCAACAACATGCAAAAGTTACTGACATCAAGAGAAATAAGCAATACATTAAAAATGAGAATTGTCAAATGTTGTGTATTCTCAACGTTACTGTATGGCACAGAGACATGGACCATGAACAAACAATGGAAATCATATCAATTCTTTGGAGATGTGGATATACAGAAGATTAGGTCGTATTTCATGGAAACAAAAGCTATCAAATACAGACGTACTGAGGAAATTGGGAATGAAAAGAGAGTTGCTAGGTGAAATAAAAAAGAGACAAGTGAAATATTTTGGTCACATTAAAAGACATAACAGTATTGTAAAGATCATCCTAGAGGGAAAGGTTCAAGGTAGGCGAGCAAGAGGCAGACACCATTATAAGTGGGAGGATAACATCAAGAGATGGAGGAACAGCAGTATGAGTGAGTGTACATCAAGGGCAAGAGACAGGGCTTGTTGGAGATCCATTGCAGCCAACCTTCATTGATTGATTTGATTTGATGACTAAAAAGACATAATTTACCTGTGTATTTGATGACTAAAAAGACATAATTTACCTAACTGTGTATTTGATGACTAAAAAGACATAATTTACCTAACTGTATTTGATGACTAAAAAGACATAATTTACCTAACTGTGTATTTGATGACTAAAAAAACATTATTTACCTGTGTATTTGATGACTAAAAAGACATAATTTACCTAACTGTGTATTTGATGACTAAAAAGACATAATTTACCTAACTGTGTATTTGATGACTAAAAAGACATAATTTACCTAACTGTGTATTTGATGACTAAAAAGACATAATTTACCTAACTGTGTATTTGATGACTAAAAGGACATAATTTACCTAACTGTGTATTTGATGACTAAAAAGACATAATTTACCTAACTGTGTATTTGATGACTAAAAAGACATTACTTACCTACATACATGCCTCAGACTTTCAGTGCAGCAAGATTATGAGAACTTTTCTCCAGTTGCAATACATTTTAACATTTTGCAAGATTTCCTCTGATAAAATGCAATAGTTTATAGGATTAGCAGTTTACTGAGTCCTGCTAAGGTAGAGAATAAACAATTAGGAGATCTCAGTTTTGCAGACGATATTTTTCTGATAAGTAAGAATAGCACTAACATGCAAAGAAAATCAGATGAGTTATTGTTATACAGAAGTTGGCTAGGGATTTGACATAATTTATTTATGATAAAATGGTACATACCATGTAAGTCTTTCTTGGGATTCTGTGAAACCGGCAAGGTACCAGCTGACACTAGAGGTGAAGTAAAATGTATCCCTTATACATGACACAGTGGTCTAAACTCCATCAGATAATTATTTCAAGCCTAGTTTGGAGATTGGTGTTCGTATACCTGGAGTTTTCCAGATTGGAGTGCTTGAAGCACCGGTCTTGCATCTGTCAGAAATACCAGGGGTTGTAAAATATGATGTATATTTAACAGTTTCTCTGCTGCTGTTTTGACGGCTTCAACTTTTGCATCATAGTTGTGACAGTGCTTTTACTGAGTAAAACACAGAAGACAGTAAAGTTCATACTAGAAACAACATTGCAGATAAGATAATCTATTTCAAGCGAGCGAAAGAAGAAGCATAAGAAGAATTATTTAAAGCCTGTGTTTATGTTACTGATGATGTGATAACTTCCATTGGAATCGTTGTTGATATTATACCGTTTATATTTTTGTTACAGATATACGAGTCCACATCAGACCTGGAGAAGATGGCTGCTCTTGTTGCTGCACTGACACATGACCTTGACCATCCAGGTGTCAACAACACATTTCTCATTGTAACATCCAATCATCTTGCCACGTTATATCATGTGAGTGCAGCCAGCTGAGGTATCTCACAAACCCACACCATTACAGGATATCTCACCTTCAACTTTACATTGTCATTAACACTGCATACTGTGTCTTTGTGGCAGAGTGGTACAGCAGTAACACTGCATATTGTATCTTTGTGGCAGAGTGGTACAGCAGTAACACTGCATATTGTATCTTTGTGGCAGAGTGGTACAGCAGTAACACTGCATACTGTGTCTTTGTGGCTGAGTGGTACAGCAGTAACGCTGCATATTCTGTCTTTGTGGCAGAGTGGTACAGCAGTAACGCTGCATATTGTATCTTTGTGGCATAGTGGTATGGCAGTAATGCTGCATATTGTGTCTTTGTGGCAGAGTGGTACAGCAGTAACGCTGCATATTGTGTCTTTCTCGCAGAGTGGTGCGGCAGTAACGCTGCATATTGTGTCTTTGTGGCAGAGTGGTACAGCAGTAACGCTTCATATTGTGTCTTTGTGGCAGAGTGATACAGCAGTAACGCTGCATATTGTGTCTTTGTGGCAGAGTGGTACAGCAGTAACGCTGCATATTGTGTCTTTGTGGCAGAGTGGTGCGGCTGTCTGTCTTGCATTCCAAGGTTAGAGGAAACCTTTTTAGACTTGCTTGATTCACACATGGAGCTGCCTTTATGTGTCAGACACTTGCCTGCTCGCCTTGTGGGTAAAAATCCACATCAGGCTGAATTTGTCAAAACATGAGCTTTGCTCCCAGGTCAGCCTAGCCTTAAACAGGTTCCAGGTAAAGTTTAGGGAAGTAAATGTAGCTGGCATGATGTTGACCACATCACCCACAGATTATATATAGATCTTGCACTGTATGCCCAATATGCCTGAAGATGAGGAAAAGAGTCTTTTACTAAACACTTCCACACTGTTACAGAATGTTTCACCTTCAACTGTACATTTTTGATGATGCTGCACACTGTATCTCTGTGACAAAGTGGTTAGGCTCTCTCTCTTGAATTCTGAAGGTTATGGGTTATGTATACTTTTGCTTAATTCACAAGTGCTCTTGTTTGAAAGATTCCTGGGGGGTTATTGCTAGAGCTATTTAGTCCAGTCTGTAATACTGTCAAGTTCAACC